TAATGCATCTATTGCAATTTTCACTTTATCCTCTCAAACAGTCCTAAGAATGTTCAGAGTGTGCTACTTCACTGGGGGATTCGCTCCCTTGACCCCGGCGGGGTCCTTCGTAATTCGCATAACGGCTCCCCCCTTTCAAAATCCTGGCTACGTCCCTGGGGGGGAAACAATCGATATGATGTCCCCCCCCCCCATGGGCCGATGGCCAACAAGCTAACCACTACCCACCACCACCAATTGCAATCTACTATTTTGCTGTTATGTAAATATTCACGCATTCTTGTCAGGATGATTATCCACCATTCGTAATGTCCTTATATACAGCAACCTTTTTTAATAATTTTCCATAAAAACCCCTTGATTTTCATCTATTTCCATAACCGCCCCCTCAATTTCCACTCTGTTTTCATAAGCGCTTCGTTTAAATAAGTGCCCCGTTTGAATAAGCGCCCCTCAGAAAGTGCAAAAATTATTTTAAGCGCCCGGGCGCTTATTCGCGCGAGTACGGTAGGTGAACTTACACCGGGGCAATTAGTAGAATTAATATATAGATGGTAATGCTACGATATATTTCTTCGAGAGATGTGCATGCATCTGGATGGGATATTGCGTTTATTCGTTACTCAAATTAATATACATATGATGATTGATTAGAGTATTGTATTGTGTTATCCATTCTCTTACAAGTGAAATACATCTCATTTCATTTGATCTCATTTAATATTAACTTTTTCTAGGTTTTGTTGATGACGCCATTATTGCGACGGTGTCTTATGAAATGAATCACAACTGGAAACACTTTGGTGTTCTTTTGGGGCTCTCATTGAAAAGGGTTAACAAGATTGATGCTAAGGAACAACACACTGACAAAGCTATCTTTAAAATGATGACGTATTGGAGAAGCCACTTAGATAGTGAAACACATCAACTGGAAATGCTGTGCACTGCTTTGATACAACATGGTTACGTGAATCTAGCTGGGCAATTATTCCAGGGAGATATCAGCGAAGAAGGTGAGTGAATGTGTATATATATAAATATATAAATATATACATATATATATACACCCTTACATACATAATACATACATACATACACCCATACATACATACATACATACATACATGTATGTATGTATGTATGTATGTATATATACACACCTCAGCCACAACAATGTGGGGCTTAAGTGTCTATTTGTGAAGGTCCCTCTGTGGGCCCCCTTCTATTTCAAATTTCTAATATTATTTTATTCTAAATAGAGAAAATAAATATATGTTATTATTATTACCTGTATTATTATGTATTAATTTTAAATCCTAATAAATATACTTTATCACTTTCTTTCCGATTGTTCTTAACGCATTTAACATTAAATTCCGAATTCTTCGAAGTTCCTGAGGTAATATTAGCTAGAGGTAAAGAAGCTCAGAGGGTTTATAAGGAGGAGTTAAAAAATGGAAAAATCACAGTAAACCATGCACGATTAATGGTGGCTGGAAAGCAGGGCGTTGGAAAAACCAGTTTGGTAAACACTCTGCTTGGAAAACCGTAAGTTTCTGAAGTCTTTGTCCATGCATGTAATATACCTGGGAGTATTGGAAATAATGTGTTTAGAATCCCGGGTGGGTGGCATGTTTTCACACTCGCACATTTCTATTAGATATACAATATACTGTATACTGAAGGCTTAGGTTGCAGGGAGGACTGAGCATTTGTGTATAAATAAATATATTTATGTTCCTGAAATATGTTAACCCTTGTTTTCTGTCACTTGTGATCAGTTTCATTATATTGTAATTCCTGTATAATGTTTTCACAGATTTAATGACGAAGAACCATCAACCGATGGGATAGTATTGAGAACAGCATTTCAAGCTACTAACGTTGATTGCAGTGAGTGGAAAGAGGAAGAGGATATTGATGGTATTAAAGAAAATCCTCTATATAACTTTTAGATTAAAACACCTTTTTGTAACTTGTTGATATGCTGCTAGTTGTTAAAACTATTGTTTGAAATATAATTTCATTTGCAGATTGTGATTGGATCAAAAAGTTACATGATAATGCAATAGAAGGTAAAGTTGCAGGGATTTTGAAATTTATAGGAAAACAAACAGAGGGACACCAGCCAGCAGTTGAACCTGTAACTGAACCAGCAGCTGAACTGATACCTGAACCAGAAGCTGAACCGATACCTGAACCAGCAGCTGAACCGATACCTGAACCAGCAGCTGAACCGATACCTGAACCAGCAGCTGAACCGATACCTGAACCAGCAGCTGAACAGATACCTGAACCAGCAGTTGAACCAGTACGTTCTGAACTGTTACTGAAATTTTATTAAAAAATATATCCTTCTTAAACTATATCTATTCTTTACTTGGCGCCTTATAAGGTGGATATAATTTTTAATTGGTGTGGTAAAAATGTCTGATATATTATTATTAATATTACTATTAAAAGCACAATTTTTGGGCAATACTAAGCACCCAAGAACACTCTCCCCATTAATCCTCTCAGGCATTATTATTCTGGGAAGGACCCTAAAGAAGCTCTAGTCGGCCCCATGATTCGGACACTCTGTCGGACATCAGTGGGAGGAACCAAACTGTATTCTACTGCTCTGTATTATCTAATCTATAGCTTTTTGTTTTTCTTTGTTTTTTGTTTTTTTTTTATAAATGATGAAATAATTTAATTCATTTTATATTATATTTACACACAGGATGAAATGCTGGAAGGAATTGCAATAGAAAACAGTGAAGCTTGTCAATGTAATAAGTTTACAATATTATTTTCACATTATTCATTCAATAAACAAGATTTTGATTGTGCAGTTCCGTAATTATTTTTCATAATTGCAAACACAAACACAATAGAGCCTACTGTGGCCTACAGCAATCATGGGCTGTAATAATTTGATTCAATATTGATTTGTTTCTTGAAAACATTTTATAAATATCAGCAATTTTTATCATAATATGCCCACTAGTGTCACGCATATCACTGTAATTATGATCAACACTTCTTTTTTCTTAATTATTTTCACAAAGCAAATTCAAGAAAGACATATGGTTTTTTCTACAAGTACAAGATTTGGTGGTACATTAAATAAACTACCAAATAATTGGGAAAAAACCCCAAAAGATATTACGCAATCAAGAAAAATAAAACAAAACTTTTACTACACTGTTCGTTGTAATTGTTTTGAGTCCAAAAAACGTGTACATGGTCTAATGTCGCAAATAAAAGGTTCTATCTCTCATGGCACGCACAATTTGCAATTAGCTTTCAAAGGATACAGTACTGGAATGCTGCCTTAGTCGTTGGTCCCATGCTACTCCAGCTTATTTCTTGCAACAGAACAGTTCAAAGTGCTGTTCACACATTCCATTCCACAGACACAGGATACTGTATACTTCATTCTTTATTTGTGAATCACATAAGATTTGGCACTCATTTCTTAGATCCACACAGGATACGCATTTATTTCGGATCCACACAGGGTAGCCATACATTTAATCCACACAGGATAACTTTCGTAGCTGGAAACGCACATTGGTAGCATGAATAATATAATATTCACTGTATAATACACACAATCTCTGGTCCACACAGGATGCTTTACTCTACCAGACCCACACTTTATTAGTGCTGCTACAATCTCCATTTAGTCCACACAGGGCATACAAACAGTCGGCTTACATTTCTGACTTTCTCTCAGTGCAGATCCACCAACACTAACCCTTTTTTCTATCCCATCATCCTACCACATTACATTTTATAATCTTTCTACCAGCTTCTCACTTTATAACATTGCATAACACTATTCTTCACACCATACCACACCACTTTCAGTCTCCACACAATCAATACAATACCTTAAAAAACTTCATAACGTTACAAAAACTGTCACCACTTTCAGCATAAAAAAAAAAATAAGAATCACATATGAACAAACTGAACTGTCAATCCTCTATTTTGACTATAAAAGTATTTTTAATTTTATATCTTTTTTTTTTGTTCATACATACTTTTTTATATATATATAAAAAAGTATGTATGAACAAAAATAACCCCACAATCCCATTGTGACAATTGTTGAATTTACTTTACAATCATTATGACATTGTCCCATTATATTTCCAAAACCACCACCACAATCTGCATCATTATCATCCTCATCTTTATAATCAGTGATGATTACTGTCTTGGTTAGAATTCGATATAAATAACCATTTCCTAATATTTTTTTTTGTAATTTTAAAGATGAAGATTTATTTGAGAACCAGAGTACAAGTAGTGATGACAGCTCAACAGAAGACCTTACACCTGAAGCCCAAAAGAGAATTAGTAAGCGAATGTCGAAACCGAATGAGAAAAAATCAGGGGAGACTGGATATAAAGATATGACTTACATTTGGGACTTTGCTGGCCAGCAGCTCTACTACATCACACATAAAGTAAGTAATGCTATAACCAGGATTTTTAAATAGTGTGGGACAACATAAGGGTGAACCCATTTACACATAAATTCAAATAATGTGGACCTATTTTCTTAAAAGTTGTCCCATTTTACGTAAAGAAAAAGAATAATCCGAACCCATTTTCTTGAAAAATTGAAACATTATACGTAAAATATATTAGAAATCTGGACACATTTTCTTAAAAGTTGACCAATTTTACACAAAATATGAGAAATCGGGACCCATTTTAAAATGTGAATTCATCCAACTGTCCCAATAGCTAATTAGATGTCAAGACAATTTAAATATCTGAGCAAATCAGATGTCAAACAGTCAATTTTTGATAATTAATTTGATCAGAAAATATATTTTTAAAATATACAAGTTCTCTCCCTTCATGGCCATGATTTTTGTATGGCTTTATTCTTTGATGTAACATGAATAGAAACACGTTTCATTTTTTTACAAAGTTATCAGCAATTATTTTATTTGAAAGTATAAACTAAAATTCAACTTGCATAAGTAATAAATAACTGGATTAGATTAAGTTTTTTATCAATTTTATGAATGCAACTTCTTGATATTTTATATGCTCTAAGCTTGTATTGCAAAACAGGACCATATGTAAAACAGGCTGTTACATCCTCCTGAAAGCTTGTATAAATATGCTCAATAATAACTGGAAGAATAATTGGGAGAACAATTTAGGCCTTAATTCCAACTTTACTGTACATTTCTGTTAAATGTTTTTAAAATCAATGAATAATTCAATACAAGAGAAAGCTAGGCACTAACTAGTATTCATTTTTTTTAGATATTCCTAACGAGCGAGGTGGTGTATTTGATTTTGTTTAGCCTGATAGAATGCATGTACGCAAAAGGGAAGCGTAGGATAGATGGAGAGGTAACGGTTCTTCTTTTTCTGTTACATTATTTGTTTTTTAGGTTTTTTTGCAGCACATTGATTAAATTAATTTTTATTTACTACTACCATTTGATTTATTAATATTTAAGATTTTATATATTTAACAGTTATGTAAAATATATTTTCAGGAAAGTGATGTGATGACATACGATATGACAAATATAGAGATTATCAAATACTGGATGAGGATGATATATACGTACGCTATCCCAGTTCAGACACAAGATAAACAGCTACGAGCCAAGAAACCCCAAATTGTGGTGGTTGGTACCCACAGCGAGAGCCTAGAAGGGACCAGTGACGACAAGAAGAAACAGGTAAAATGTACTAAAAGACCATCAACAATAATTTGCTGAAAGCCATTGTATAGGCCTACATAACTTACTTTTACACCTATATTGTATCTATTTAGATTAAAGAACAGTTTAAAATAATATTCAAAGAAATCAAAGGCACGCCATATGAATGTCACGTGGTGAGGGAAATGTATGCCATCGACAACAAGTTTCCATTGAAAAGTGTGATGCTGAAGACTCTTAAACAAGATGTCAGCGGATTTCTCAAAGCGATGCCCAAAACAATTCCGCTTAAGTGGCTTGATTTCCAAAGTCAAATCCAGGAGATTGGTAGGAAAGCAATACGCATGACTTATGTTAAGGTATTGTACATTTGCATATAAACATAGTTACCACTTACCAGCCTGAAAGATTTGAAATGCAAGAATACTTGGGTAGGAGGGGAGTGAGGGGCCGCCAGGCCCTGGTAAGTTCAGGCGCAATGTCACATAATCAATGCTTGGTTGAGACTACAAGATTCCAGTAAGTGTGTGGTTGGCTGGGTTCTTTGGTCGGGAAAGACAAATTTTCAAATTGATTCTTGAATGAGAAAACGAAAGCTATCTAATGACTAATTTTATCGTATCTTTATTTCATGACATTAAGGTTTGTGAAGTTGCCACTAAGTGTGGAATTTCTGTGGATAACCTCATTCACACCCTCAATTACCTACATGATCTTGGAATCATTCTGTACTTTGAGAACAACAGAATACTGAAGCATACAGTGATAACAAACCCACGGAAGCTGATTGAAATATTCAAGAAAATCATCACAGTGGTGGAACCTAATGACAGTGATAAGGTGAGTTAAGTACAAACTAACTGCCAGACATCATGCAGTCAGTACGATAACAGTATAACATGTTTGAAATCATCGTTACTTTCAGTGGCCTATAATGATGACACTTTGGAACAAACTTGATGACGAAGGTATCTTGGAGGAGGATTTAGTCAGACATCTTTGGAGAGATGAGCTCAGCCAAGATGAAAGTAGCCTTGAGGTCTTCTTGGAACTATTGAAGCAGTTTGGACTTCTCTGTGAGCAAAAGGTACCGTAAAAATGAATTATTTTTCAGCGAAAACAAATACAGTGATGCATTTGATTTTCTAAAAAAGGCTCAAATATGCCACTTATTCTATTTCACATATTTATTTTTTTTTCTTAAAATTTAAGTCTTAAAATTGTTTTCATTTAAGAATGTGGAAAGCAGACAACGCTCATTTTTTGTGCCCTGTCGATTGAAACGTAGCAAAGAGAGTTTGTCTATCGAACCGGACACGGATGAGATGGTATCTATCTACATGGCCTCCGAGGATTTCATCCCTGATAGTATCTTCCACCCTTTAGTTGTCAGCTTGATTAGAATGGTGCAAGACATGGGTTACACGGCTAAACCAGAGTTATTCAGCAACAATGCAATCATAGCTCTAGGATGTGATCACATTCTCAGCCTAGGACCAGTAGTTATTAATAACAAACCCTCCTTAAAGGTAATGTCACTTAGTTTGATTGATTGATCAACAAGTTACTTTTTTTAAGGTTATCGTTTTGATTTTAGTATACATTATGTTTTTTATAATACCTAAAGCTTTTGTCTACATGGACACCTTTCCTATCTTTCTATCTGATTGACATAAATAATAATTATAATGCTGATACAATAATACTCGAGCTAATATTCCAATTAAAATCAATTCTCTATTGGTGGCTGACTTTCACATGGTTGCTGATGAGACAACCTTTAGCAAGATGATATTTAAAGAGTTGAGCTAGTGTAGCTGGGTGGTGAATCTCAGATCATAAGCTCACTTAGGGCCTGTTTCTGCTGAGCAAAAAAACACATGTTTTTAGACGGTTATTAAAAAACGCATGTTTTTCCCCAGTAGAAATGGGCCACAAAACAAAAACATGGTTAGGAATACGTTCTAAAAACGCGTGTTTTTACACGCATTTGTTATAATAATAATAATATGTCGTTCTTATATAGCTCTTAATGCCTTTACAAAGCCTCTAAGCGTTTCACATTACTACCCCGGTCACTGGATCAAACACATTGAACACCAAATTAAATTATTAAATTGAATTATATTATTATTCCATAATATTGCGGAGTAATCAGCGCAGTTGTTTTGGAACCTACCAGGTACCCACTTGTACTCCTGGGTGGAGAGAGGCAACCGTAGTTAAAGTGCCTTGCCCAAGGACACAAGCGATTTGCACAGCGAGAGTTTCGAACCCCCAACCTTGAGGTTGGAGTCAAAGTTACAACGGATGCGCCAACCGCTTCTACCCGTTATAGGGTTCGCGTTCAGAAAACACGTTTTGTTGTTGACTTTTCAGCTGCAACGCAATAGCGTGTTTTTCATGACCCGTCGGTGACCCAAATTGGCCTCTTCGTTGGTTTGATCACCCATCTGCGGGAAATTTGGGGCGAAGGAAAAAAATTAAACCAATATGATGACATGCTTGAAGATCATACCATACTTTTTTCATACTTTCGTGGTGTTTTGTTTACTTCTTACGCAGCATGCGCTGTACCTCGTAAGAAGTAACGTCAGCTTCAACTTCCAGTGGTGACCGTCATTTAAGCTCTGTCCACCTGCCAATGCTCGCATTATTATGTTTTTATTAGTTGCACTTTTTACTAGAAACGCATTCAGATGGAATTTAACCATTTATAAAAAACACGTTTTTGGCGTTATTTAGCAGAAACACGGCCTTAGATGAATGACATGAAACTGGATTTTCAATTTCAAATAAATCTATTATTGAATGATTAATTAATTGACTGGTTGGTTGATTAATAAATTGATTTGATTTTTATTTTAGCTTGAAGTATTACGCAAGCCTATAGATCAAGAGGGAGATACGAATCCCAGTCCAAGAGTCTGTATGCCGGTACATTATATTTTAGTAATAAAATCCTGTGGTTAAGATATCAGCTGTTAAACAAAATAATGTTGTTTTTTTTTATATTGTTCCTTGATCAATATAGAGTAATAGACAGGAAATTTTACTTGGGACAAAATGGTAATAAAAGATGTATCAATATAGTACAGATAAAATTAATCTGTCAATCAATAATTATTATTTTGTGTATTCTCTCAATTATTTTTCTGTAAAGTTTTGTTTATTGTTTTCAATCTCCATATTTATCAAAATTATTATCAAAGGTGTTGGATTTTCTGAAGAAAGAGATGAAATTACTGACATCTGGAATGAAGCACACAGGATATACATTCCGTGTCCTGTGCTGGAAAGACTCGCAAGAAACACACTTCCACGATTTAGAAGAGTGCTTGACGAACAATAACATTCCATGCGGGAAGAGATATATAAAAACAAGCAAACTACAGAGGATGTTCAAGAATAAAAAACTTGAGACAGGTAACACAGATTCAACATACCCACTTACATTAATTGGATTTAATTATTCCTGTAAAAGCATAGATATTGTCATTTAATAAAATATATTAATAATACAGTACTCTAAATTTAATTTATTTATCAATATTTTTATTTGATTTTTTATTCTATTTCAGCACCGATTCCCAGTGATACAACAACACTGCCACCAGGTTAGGGTTTTAAACATTTTCAGAATTTCATGTTTTGTAGATATTAGCCTTTATTGTCAAATAATAAAAATGTATACATACATAATAGAAATGTATTGTATATAAATGTTTTTCAATATTTCTTAGCAGGCTCTTCACAACAAGCACCGACTCCCAGTGACATAGGAATCCCGGCACCAGGTTAGAGTTTCCGACATTATTATCAGTATTTTGTATCTCATAGATTGTACTGCTATTGTTATTTCATTGTAATCTTCTTCATTTTAGATAAAAATCTTGGTTACCTAGAAAATGAGCACCTGCTTAAATTTGCCAGCTGCATGGGACCGCAATGGAAACAAGTGGGCGTCAGACTGGGTCTCAGTTGGAACAGGATCCAGCAAATACATAGCGACTTTAACCTATCACAAGACCACATCACGAGTATGCTTATAGAATGGAGGGAACAACAGAACTACGAGACAAATCAAGTTGAAATAATGTACAGGGTTTTGAGAGAGCAAGGACTTGCAGAGCCTGCTAACACGGCCTTTGGATCTCAGTTAATATCAGTGGATCAACCATTCCTTGTAGAAGCAGGTGAAGGACATGCTAGAAAATTAGATCGAAGACACAAAGAACAAGATGGTTAGTTCAAATGTATTATTACTGCTGCAATGTGAAACATATCGTTAATTATTTATCCAATATTTTTGGGTATTAGTCTTAATTAAGTTTAACAGCAAAGAGAGAGTAGTTAGCTCAGTTGACAAAAGTAACAAAGGGGAAACACAGGTGTCAATAGTGTCATATTCAATTATTTTATTATTTGTATATCATCTATGATTTTATATTAGGAAAATGTTTTGACGATCAAGATTTGCTATTCATCTGTGACCAACTGGAGCCTGGTTCATGGAAGAGACTAGGAGTGCGTCTTGGACTTAAGTGGACTGATACCAACAAGATAGCAATCAACAACAAACAGGTGAAAGACTGCGTCATGGAATTGTTGGTTACTTGGAGGGATAGCCAATCAACAAAGCAAGTACCAGTCATGGTGAACGCTTTGAGACAACAGAACTTTAGTGAACTTGCAAGAAATGTATGTAAAAGGCTTGGCTACAGTGACGAGTTAGAAGATGCATCAACTCAGATAAATCTGCCTCACATTTCAACACCTGTGCAAGGTTAGTAAGAAGAAAAAAAGGAAAGAAGGAAAATTGAAATTAAAAAAATTGTTCGATTTAGAAAAAATTCAACTTATATATAAATTATTAACTATCATTGACAAGTCAGAAGCTGCACTCAGATAAATGCAACACAGCAAACTAGTGCATGGTTAGTGAAAAGTTGCTATCCTCTTGTTGTCGTCCTTCTCACTGAGAAACATCATTAGCACAATTTCATTTTTATTTCCATATACAGAGAAAATTTTCAATTTTTCATTTAGAGAGAATGTAAGATTTAATTATCGATATACGTAAATCGTTCTGGTCAATAATAAAACTGTTGCTGGTTTCACTCGTGGCTGGTTATAAAATAAATCCAAAATAGTAGGCCAGTTAATGTTGGGCCCGGGTATTCAACCTTTTAAGCTGGTGCCCAAACAAGTTTATTGTGGCCAGTTAGCAGGCAGACAACTTTATTATTTCCATCCATTCCTTTTAACACAACTCATGATATCTTGTCACAATGTGTTATAAACAATATAGACATTGTTTTGCAAAAAATGTAAAACCACCCAGCTAGTTTTTAACCCCAAGCTGTAATTTTACTCAAAAATCTAAATGTGTCCTCATTTTATTAATTCGGAATTTTATTTTTTATTTTTTTGTAAGTTCTGTGGTGAAGTCGCTCTCGAATTAGGGCTAATGTTAATGTACTAAATATAAAATAAATACTTTTTTGAGGTAAAGACAAATGACATTCTTCATTTCATTGACTTTTAATGTATGAAATTATTATTTATATAGTGCCTCACCTTGTTAAGTTTGATTGACACGCCGGAAAGGTCTGTTGAAGCGGGGACCAAGAGAATAGTTAGCTCAGTTTACAAAAGTAACAAATAGAAACACACATCAATAGCGTCATATTCAATTATTTTATTATTTGTATATCATCTATGATTTTATATTAGGAAATTGTTTTAATGATCAAGACTTGCTATTCATCTGCGACCAACTGGATCCTGGTTCATGGAGGAGACTAGGAGTGCGTCTTGGACTTAAGTGGACTGATACCAACAAGATAGCAAACAACAACAGTTTGGTGAAAGACCGCATCATGGAATTGCTGGTTAGTTGGAGGGATGACCACTCAGCAAACCAAGTACCAACCATGGTGAACGCTTTGAGACAACAGAAGCTTCTTAAACTAGTACGACGTGTATGTGAAAGGCATGGCTACAGGGATGTGTCTGAAGTTGCAGCAACTCAGATAAATGCAACAAAGCAAAGACACATGCACGGTTAGTGAAAAATTGCTATCCTCTTGTTGTCTCCGTTCTCGATGAGAAACATCGTTAGCACAGTTGAATTTTCATTTCATATAATGTACAGAGATTTCCATACACTTTTAAATTCTGCTTCATTGCGAGAATGTAGGATTGAATTATCGGTTTTATACTTGTATAATAAAAATATTGCTGGTTTCAGCCCTTCAGTCATGACTGGCCAACATATAGATCTTAATGTAAATGCTAATCTTCAAAAAGCAGCCTGCTAATGAAAAGGCTTCGAGTATTCAAACTGGCGGCCAGAGGCAATTTGTTGTGGCCGGTGGCAGGCCAACACAACTTTATTATTTCCATAAACACTCCATCCATTCCCTTTAGTACAACTCATGATCTCTTGTCAAAATACATTATGGAGACAATATATGATAGACCTTGTTTTTTTTTTAAATAGTGAATAGATCTAGCTAATAGTCACAACCTCACAACCAGCTAGTTTTTCTCCGCTTAACCACTAAGCTGTAATTTTACTCTGAAATCTAAATGTGTCTTCATAATTAAGAAGTTTACTTTTTTAAATTACAAAGTTAATTCTGAGGTGAATTCACACTCATATTAAGGCTAATGTTAATGCACTACACATAAAAATAAATACCATTTCTGTGGAAACACAAATGACATTCTATATTCATTGGCATATATACCACTCGTCTACATGTATACAGTATTCTTGAAAATTCATGTGTTCTGTTTCAGGTTGCTTGCATGACATTGACATGGTGGTTATCTCAGAGAGTCTTGACAACGACTGGAAGGAGTTTGGGATTTACTTAGGTTTGCAAAGATCTGAAATAAATCGAATTGAATTAGATTTTTCACCACCAATTGTAGACGCCCGTATCGAAATGTTGGTACAGTGGCGAGAAAGACAGGAAGCTGAAGTAAGGCATCTCAAAACAATTAGCGATGCACTGATCAAAATTAAACGAATGGATATCAAGGACAAACTATTATTAACTATACTTGATCGCCTTCCAGTATCAACGATCTAGTCATGCATCGGACGGGGACATTGGTCCAACACTGGCAACTTCCAGGAATTTGCTGGTACTCATTGATACAGTTGGGTAGACTGAGGCAATGTAGTACATTGCTTAGGCACAAGTAAAATGCTCAGCGAAGGACTGAAACCCAAACCAAGTGGTTGGGAAACCAACCCATTTCCACTGCACTGAACCACCTCCACATATACAGTATAAAACTGAGAGTAATTACTGAAATGTCCAGTTAGATATTACAACCAAACAGTTTTTACAGTGATGTGTTTGGAAATATGGATTTTGATCCATAACGAAATACAGGACTGCATGTGCAAACATCAGCTTTCATTGGCTTATCTGAATCAGGCTATTCTCAATTCATTGTCTTAAATACCTGATAACTACTATTTTCTTTAGTGGTTTTATTCTTCATACTCAATGGCAACAACTTGTAGAACTGGTAGAAGAAGCTGAAATGCATCCTGAATGTATGACATGCTGTTGGAGCCCTGGCAACAAAGCAAAAAAAAAAATATTTTTTTATTTGCTTCTGTTTATTTACAAATATATAGTTATTAACAATACTGTATAATCAAATATGATGAAATGCATTTAAGGAAAGAGTGAGAGAGAGCAGGCTTAAGCCTATAGATAATTGCTAAGTTTATAACAAAATAATGAATTAAATTTAGGTAAAATAGAAAAAAAACGAATAAAAATAACCACAAAGCATCAGCCGTTAAATACTGCACAATTAGAGCTCAACGTCCTACACCACATCCACCATTATGAATGTCAACATTACATGTAAACACACTCAGAGACAAATTCATCTTTGGAAATAATTTCATAGTGTAAACATGGTGTTGAAAAGAATATACTTAGATAAGAAAAGAAAGAAAAACATAAAACAATGTTTTCCCCAGAGCCTGGCTTAAGTATTTACCTCCAAGTATGAATTTGTAATAAATGAGTTCACATCATCCTCCTCTCCCATGACGTCTTAAGCAACCGTGAGCTGCTCACAGAATGACGACGTAAGGCTACTAACCTCGCAGCATAGTACACTCGTTAACCTTTGACAAGGAAAGCACATCATAGTTACACAATGGTTTATATTGGTTCAGCAGACGACAAAATGGTTTATATTTACTGTATTCAGGTTCAAAGAGAAGCACATGAGTGGTTAGCTGAATGCAAACAAGAGTTAGAAACCCTCAAACAAGAAAAAGAAAAAGGAGGAAATCTTAGCAAGAATGCAAATAAGGCGGAAGATATAACAATAGCTTGTGATGTAGCAGACAACAAGAATATTCAAGGTAATACAGCAGATAAGAAAGTTACTGATGGTTCAGCAGACGACAAAAAACAAACTAAAAATGATGTAGCAGACGACAAGCATATTCAGGCTGATACAGCAGATGATAAGAAAGCTACTGATGGTTCAGCAGACGACAAAAACAAACTGAAAATGATGTAGCAGACGACAAGCATATTCAGGCTGATACAGCAGACAATAAGAAAGCTACTGATGGTTCAGCAGATGACAAAAAACAAACTAAAAATGAAGTAGCAGAGGATAAGACAAATATGAAAGATGATACAGCAAATGACAAGCTTATCAATCACAAATCATATTTCAATGTCATTAGTAGAAGGTATATATGAACCAATCACAAAACATATTTCAATCATGTCATCTGTTAAAATCAAGTTAGCAATACTTTGGTTAAAATTAACCCACTTAATACTACCTTGTAGAAAGAATGCATTATATATACTGTTGACTTAAATAATTTCTTTCAACATCCTTCTTCACAGTGACAATGTCATTCATAATTCTACTTTGACTCTTCCAAATGTCACTGAGAAGAGACAAAATAGTAGTAGCATTAGTTACGCAAGTTTGACAGTATACCAGTTAATAGTGGGATCATTTTTCATAATTTAGTTATATTTAACTTTTCCAATTTTCTGACAATCACTGTGAAACCATTGCTCACACAGAATATCCATTCTCAGACTGCCATCAACAGTCAGCGGACAGCATTGAGTCGTCTGACTCTGACAGGAAGCAGACTCGTCAGCCGACTATCATACAACACACTGGGTGCCTGGCCTGCTATTATTCTTCCTCCTCGGAGCCAACGGCCAACCATGCCTTAGTTTAAGGAGTAGGTTTTATTAGTTTCATAAAATAACTTCAACTTTCTTTTTTCTCAAAATGTCAAACTCAAAGAGCTCAATCACCAAGCGCATAGAGGCTTTTTCGCATGATGCGCTCTACAAATCCAACTATTATTATTATTATTATTCATCATCATTCATTTATAGTCATTGTAAACACAATATTTACTTTAAAATAGCATAGCAAGTGTTAGCTATGAATAAAGAATATAAAAAGTATAACAATAAATAAATAAACAAATAATTTATAGAAGTATTTTATTTTAGATTAAATAAGGATGGTGTTAATTATTGCTTAGATGTTTAATTT